GAATTGTACAGTAATCGGCCTTCACATGCGAGTGTTAGTCAGTAGTGAATGAGACTACAGTAGCGACTCCTTATACGCACACAGTTCGTAATAGCGGTAGAAACAAACCTGTATACTTCGAATTATTGAAGCCATGAGGGCCTAATTGCTTCCGTGCAAGCTCGCTCAGAAAGGTCTTCGTCCCATACCTGTAACGAGAAAAAACCTTCAAATTAAAAATGTGAGAGGTTTCTCTAGCGAACTGAGGGGAAGAGGTTCCCAGCATTCCTAGATTTATGCATCCATCCTAATTTCGCCTACTAAGAGGCTTCTACGCCCTATAAAGGCACCCGAAAAAAAAGCCAACCAATGTTTGTTGATCACGTAATGATTATTTTCAGAAGTGCTTCTTGTAGAAGTCTGCGGCGCAGTCTGAAACCATTACTGTTCTCTGAAAAATAAGCAAGGCGCTGTTCGGCTTTGAGAGGACATCCTGCACTTCTCTAGTTCCTTTGGTTAGTCCCTGTTGACTAACAGCTTTTACATTCATTAGACTTGTAAAGAGGGCAGGCCATCGTTGTGATGATCACAACAGGGGGCAGCCTTGAGGGGGGGGGGTCGTAAGCGCGGGGCCCTTTCTGAAGTGAGGGTGCAGCGATACCCAGATGTCGTTCAGCTTCAATGATGAAAGACTTATCCATGTGAAGAACCCCTGAAGAGACCCACACAAGGCTGAAGCAATCTGCCAGCGTTGAAGTGGGGAACGCGCGATGACAGGAAATGCGGTGGCCGCCCACAACGACGTCAACTGATAAATAGATGAAAATACAGTCCCGGACCTTTCTGGTCTGCAGGAGCACATCTACTTGCACGAGAAGCCCTTTCTAGAAATTCCAATTGCACCTTCCGATACCTCGGGGTGAAAGCGCTGTGCATGGCGCATTGAATTGATTCCAGTCGCGCCCAGTTAACTAATTCCTGATATTACTGGCGAAAACATGTGTTTTAGAAGCATACCAAAGCCTTCAAACGAACTGGAAGTGGTATGGCGTCGGATGGGTGGGTTTTTCGTGTCGTCCGGCAGGGGTTGCGTTGTGATCACAACGGGAGATTTTTCGAATAGTAGGCCTAGGGATAAAATGAAAATCTTGCTGGAAAGTAGAAAGCTTCGAAATTCCGGCACTGCTTTCCTTTTTACGAATGGCCCTGTATGAAGCTTGTTATGGCTGTTCAAAGCGTAACTACTTGTGAATGACCTCCGATGATCACGACCGGATCACAACGGGAGAGAATTTCTTGGGAAGGATTCTTTCTTTAAAATCGCTCACAGTCAGGTAGCAAGTTCCAATCTAGTGCTCCACTCCACAGCCCTGCTTCCTTCTCCAAAAGCTCCACTCTCAAAGAAGTTATGGGTGTTCAAGTGAGGGGTACTTTCCGAGTGTTGGCTTGCAACTGGCTCCGGGTCGTGAAATAGCTCGCTCCAGTACCACTGCGCAAAGCGCGCCCACTATTGAATGACCGCGAACGCATAACTGTTCAAGTGCTGTCACTTGCATTTTCCTGCATTTTTTTTTGTCCTTGGGCCTTTTGATGCTCATTCATAATTTATTACTTTTCTTAATTAATTTATGATTTGTTGTGACTCATTTTCATCGTTTCTCATATTTATCCTTGATTAACGTCACATCTTTTTTTTGTCGTTTATTTTCGCCGATCTTCCATTTTTCTGTGGTTGTTTGTCCGCTGCTGATCTGGTCCGTTGCTATCAGGTTAGCAGCGGGCAAGGGGATGGGGGCGTGTCGAGACCTTTTTAGAGGGGGGGGGGTCGTATTTAGCAGAAATTGATCACAACATGATGGCGTGCCCTGCTTGTAAACCCCTGTGAAGCTGCGAAATTGTTCGAGTGAGCCACTTCGGTCACTTCGTGGCCGTACAAGGTTAGCTGCGTACCATGCGGTGTCCCCATCCGAACCGATGTGCGCCATAAGCCAAAGTTTGATAAGAAAAGTGGACCTAAAGTACCGCAAGGGTATAACAAAGAGTTCCTTCCGCTTGCGTGGGTATTCATGAGGAAAAGGCACAGAATCGGGAGAGCAAGCAACATTTTATTTGCGATAAATTCCTGTCACGGTCCACCCTTTTATAGGGATCTCCTTTTATAGGCGCCATTGAGCCATATACTCTTCTAACATATCTCAAACGACCTCTCTCATTGTTGTCTCCTTTTTATCCATGCGCTCTGAATAAACGGTTCCTTCCATGAAATCGATTTTTCAACCGATTTTATGGAAGAAGCTCTTCCAAAAGTCTATGTTTATTCAAACCGCTCATCCAAAAACAGCCAAACAATGACAGAAACTGTTCGAAATGAGTTTTCAGGAATATCGAAAAACTTGTGACTCATTGGGCCCTATAAAAGGATGCCCACCTATAAAAGGGATAGGCCGTGGCAGGAATTTATCGCAAACAAATGTTGCTTGCTCTCACAATTCTGTGCATTTTCGTCATGAATGCCTACGCAAACGGTAAGCCTCGTTGTTATACTTGTGGTACTTTAGGTCCACTTTCCTTATTGGGGTTTTCGCTTACGGCGCACATCGGCTCTGGTGGGGACACAGTATGGTACTCAGCTAAGCTTGTCCAGGCCAGCTTGTGAAGAACCCGAAGCTCTTGTGGCCGAGGTGAATGACGCGAACAATTTCGCAGCTTCACAGGGGTTTACCAGTCTGACCAATGTGAAACCTGTTAGTTAACAGGAACAAACCAAAGAAACTGGGAAAATGCAGGATGTCCCCTCAAGGCAAACAGTGCCTCGATTATCCACAAGAGAACAACGTGATTTTCAGATTGCGTCCCAGACTTCCACCAGAAGCACTTGTATGCAAAATTCCACAACGGCATTAACAACAATTTGGTTAGTGGGTTTTTTCAGGTGCCTTTAGAGGGCGTAGAAGACTGAGTAAGTGAAATTAGAAAGGATGCCATAAATGATTTTACGGATGCTGGGAATCTTTCCCCCTTAGTTCGTTAAAGGGACGTCCCACATTTTTAATTTGAAGGCAATCTTTCGTTACAGGTATGGGACGAAGACCTTTCTGAGCGAGCTTGCGAGGAAGCATATGGTGAATTAGGCTCTCATGGTTTTGACAAACTCGAAGTAGAAAGGTTCGTCTCTGTCCACTTACCATGTTTATCCTTTATATTTCCTTCAGAACAATAGTGTTGTTAAGGGAGGTACCAAAATCACTCGTAAGATCGAGCAGAATTCAGCGTACCCTCATGCGTGCATATAAAGATAAAGAGGCACAAGTCAATGTCGTGAGTAATAGAAAGATCATTCATTTATTCATCGTCTCATATTCTCCATCAATTATTTTCCTTGCCACCGGAAAAGTGGCAACAAAATACAGCTTTCCTTCTGGTAGAGAAGTTATTCGGTACACTCCGCGCCAGAAATGAAATACTCAAAACAACTGAACTGAACTACGCACCATTTCCTGCCATATTCTTTTCATGAACTGCCTCTAGGGCAGATTGAGAATCTGCTTTGAGAACAAGCAGCAGCATGGTGATATCTGGAATGACAGTGTTGTTCCCCTTCCCCGTCGCTAGTCAACTACTATTTATCAGAAACAATCAAAACTAATAATTGTATGGTAGTCTGCAGCGCTCCTAAACTAGGCAACTAACGAATAAGGGAGGAAAACGGGCGAAAGCCAGCAAACGGAAAAAATTCCTTGCGGCCAGGAAAGTCCTTATCGGAAGCAAGTACGACCCCCACCTCCTCAGAACAAGTACAACTCCGTTGGAATTCTCTCCACGATGCTCTAACCTGATGGAGAGCCGAGTAATTAAAGGAAGTGTATTCTGATCATGGACATATTCAGGTACGCAATCTTCCTGCAGGCACGAAATATGGATGCAACGCCGTGGAAATCGGAGATAAAACGAAAGTTGTCTGTCTTTACGAGAAGCAGTGAACTAAAATTCTCTGCAGCTCCTTCGCAATTAACAAGCAATACGCATAAAGTTTTCTCATTTTCCATGTTTTGCTCTAGCGGAAGCAGATACTGGATACTCACCATTTCACTAGAATGCACTTTTGATGGCAACACGGATTGATCATTACCGTGTGCGAAACAATTCAACCACAACTGTGGGTGACTGCTGTCAAACTTGCAGGCAGAAAGGGAAGGCAAGCGTCTGGGCGCTGTTTTATTAGGTTGTCCGGAAAGTTCTCAGCGTTTTGAGTGTTTCACTTTAAACGATCATAACTTTCTTAATACTCATCGGATTTAATCGAAATAAGCACCGTTCGAATCAGCACACTTTTGCCAGTGTGACAAGTTGATAAATACCAATCCCACCTGGTAGCGGTATATGTCAGCGTCTTTTTGTAAAACACAAAAGTTGCTTACTTCAATTATTCCAGGTAAGACCAATGCGTCACCTCTCTAGTATTACAGTCCGTCTTCCTGTTCTCATGCTTTGTCTCTAGTGTCTCGCTTGTGCAACAGTGTCTCGCCTACTCGAACACCCGTCCGATCGTGCATATTGCTTATTGCCTTATTCAGAGGTCATGGATAGGATTTCTCCGCGCTCTTCTCAAATCGCTTTATCTTTGCCTTCAAAACGTTGTCGGGTCACTACATCCCTATCGGGACGGTGCCGATTTCTACGTTATCAACTACAGCTCATCGATGGTCAACAGTAAATGCGGATAAATAGGGAGACGGCCCTGACGACCACGCGACATTGCGTGCGCGACAAGTACCGTATGCTTGAAATGGAATGCTAGTGTGCGATGAATCACATTGTCGTTTGTTCGATGATTCACCATATTGTGCTCGCTTGATATTATGAGACCACGTTTTGAATTTGTTTCAGGAAGCGTTTGTTACAGTTTGAAATTTTCACTTATAAATGTTTTTGTATGTGAGGTTGTTTTGTTACTTGTGGCACATGACAGCACTGTTATGTAATGGGCGCGACATTTCACTATTATTATGTTAAAATTGTTGTTACGAAATACTCGATTTACTAATAACGTGCTATAATAGAAATCGATCGCAATAGCATCATAATATGAAGCGAGCACAACATGGAGAACCATCGAACAAACGATATTGTAAGCTGTAAGCACGACTA